TTTCTAAAAATAAAAAATCAATATAATTATGAGAATCATTCAGTATGAAAATGTAAAAAATAAAATTTAATATGACTTTTCACCATATATTTAATAATATATATATGTACCATCTATATCTATATAATGGACCAATCCTTATTGCTATAATTAACATAATTTTAGGCGGGAAATTTTTTCGTCTATATTTGAAATTTAATTAAAATTTATTTATTAGCAAATCTTATGCATGAAAAACATGTTATTTTTTATACACTCAGTGACTACTACTCAGTAACTACAAATTGTATTAAATTTAAATTTTGACCGTTGTTTTATTAGATATATTTTCAATGAGATATTATATTAATTTAATAGTAATTTATTGACACAATTCAAAAAATTATTATGGAAATTGATTTGATTAAATATATTATCATCTATGGTTGTAGAAACTAATTTAGTTAATTATATTTACTATTCAGAAGCACTTAAAATATATAATAAAATAATCAAAATAACTATGTTTAAATCACACTAACTTAATAAATAATTTGAAATATTAATAAAGGTTTATAAAATATAGTCAATTTAGTTATAAAAAGGTACATCCCTATTAAATACATTATATGCAGTGATAATACTATTAATAATTTAAATAATATACTAATACAGATAAAATTGTGGGGTGCAACTTAGAATTCTAAATTTCACATTTGAAATATCTATGCACAGTAAAAAAAAGCTATTTAATTTTTTAAAAATATATAAGTTTTCTTTTATACTATTTTAAAAATATCTATATCTATATCTATATCTATATCGTTTTCTATATCTATATAATGGACCAAACAATTTTCTCACCTGTAAAATAAATTATAAAAGATATCCAAACAAAATTTATATTTATCACTGACTTGATATATTGAGTCTGGTACAATTATCATGTTGTATTAAATAAATTAATAATATTTTAATAATAAAATATTAATCTATAGTATACCCCGTGCATCGCACGGGTATCAACACTAGTATATATATTAAAAGCCAACCTATTTACCAGAAACAGTAGCAAGAAAAGTCAACACACATTTAATGCATACTTTATTTGGAATTTTTTTACTATATGCATTAAATGCTTGCATATTTACATTTACTATCCAAATATGATCTTAAAGATTTTTTCCTTACATAATTTATGCAATGATTTTACTAATATTCATTATAATTAATATTTGTCGAGTAATATTTTTTAACCTTTATTTATTTATATAACACTAATATTTTTAAAAAAAAAAAATAATATTATTTATAATGTAAACGATAATGATCACATCATTAAATGATTTTATTGATGATTAGATAATAAAATTATATTAGTTATTCTTTAAAATTTCGACATGTTATTTAT